AGCTTCCTGAAGGGTGTGGTTTTTATTTCCAAGACCTTGAATGTTCCACTGCAGTATTCGTAATGGCCAGACGACGGTTTCGGTTGGTGTTGCCTATTCTAGTAGAACTCCTCTTCGGAATCGACGTCTATATTCTCCACCTCGCTAGTCGTGTCGCTGCAAATCGGACTGCACTGATTGCTCATGGTCATCCTTTGCATTTTTGGAATCTGTGCATCCCTGTTGCCCATCGCTTTGTTGTTGATGATGCTGCATATCGGGCTGCATTAATTGCTCATGCCCGCCTCTTGTGTTGTTTAAACCTGTGCATCTCTGCTGTTCAATACTTCTTTGTTGGTGTTGTTACAAATCAGACTGTATTGGCTGTTGATGTCTGTCTCTTGTGTTATAATATTCCGTTGATCTTGAGTGGTCACTGCTTCTTGCAATTGCTATTTTGAATGTTGATGTTCTGGTGTCTTGACTACCTGACTGTTGTTGGTAGTCTGTATGTCCATGTTGCGTTGTTTGTCCTCTTGTGCTCCGTCTTGTCTCAGACTGTCTATTTCTTGTGTAACTGTGGTCTGCTACACTTTTTCTTTCTGTGCAGAGCAGGTTGTGTTCCAGGCATGATGTTTTCCTCCACAATTTGGACATTTGGCTGTTGTGATCTGGTTTGCCTTGTGCTTGGCTACACAGTCTCTGGTTGGATGCCTCAGGCTGCACACCCCGCATCTCTCCTGTCCGGTGCAGCGTGATTGATGGTGGCCGTATTTCTGACACCTGAAGTAGCGCAAGGGTTCCGGGACGTATGGTCTCTGTCGGTATATTCCCCAATTTCCAAATTGAATTTTTCTGGCACATGTCCCATTACGGTCACCAGAACCTGACGTGTCGCTGCTTTGTCTACTTTTGTGCGGCATCGTTCCGCATTCAGGATTTGCTTGTGTTCCTGTACTGGATCCAGGGAAAAGTCGATTTGGTATCCCAAAAGCACGACTCTTGTGCGTTTTTCTGAAGGTTCCAGCTTTTCCAAGCATACGGGTTTTCCTCGTGGACTGTTAGTTTTTCTAAGTAATTTGCAGTCTGTTGGTCTCGTGGTGTCATTTTTCATTCTCCTTTCAGGTTGATTGTGATGGAAAGTTTGAGCTCTGGTTGTTCCTTTTCCATTGCCGTTACTACTCCATATGCTGTAGGAAAGTGGTCTGTCTGCATTATCTTGAATTTTGGAAGATGTGCAGAGTCTGGCGATGTCTGGTGTGAGACTGTTGGTGTCCTCTCCTGTCTCATACTGTTGTCCTGTGGCTGGGCTGTGGAGAGAGGTACATTGTCTGACACTGGCTGGTGTGTGACTGGTGGTGTCCTCTCCTGTCTCATACTGTTGTCCTGTGGCTGGACTGTGGACAGAGGTACATTGTCTGACACTGGCTGGTGTGTGACTGTTGGTGTCCTCTCCTGTCTCATACTGTTGTCCTGTGGCTGGACTGTGGACAGAGGTACATTGTCTGACACTGGCTGGTGTGTGACTGGTGGTGTCCTCTCCTGTCTCATACTGTTGTCCTGTGGCTGGGCTGTGGAGAGAGGTACATTGTCTGACACTGGCTGGTGTGTGACTGGTGGTGTCCTCTCCTGTCTCATACTGTTGTCCTGTGGCTGGACTGTGGACAGAGGTACATTGTCTGACACTGGCTGGTGTGAGACTGGTGGTGTCCTCTCCTGTCTCATACTGTTGTCCTGTGGCTGGGCTGTGGACAGAGAAGCATTGCCTGACACTGGCTGGTGTGCGACTGATGCTGTCCCCTCCAGGTCCATTATGTCTGCTGTCTTGCTGGTAGAAGCACGTGGTGAAACCTCGATAGCAGTTTTCTTCGGTGCCTGCTGCACCTCGGTCCACCGTCCCTCCTCGTCTGAAAGCTGCCTCCATTGCCCCTCTCTTTGACTTCCCCCATGACGTCTCCACGTAGTAAGAACCGATTCACTGCCCTACCTAATGCCTGAGACACTCCTAGGCCTGGAGAAATTCATTCCCCTCTAACGGAGGTCCAGAAATGATTCCTCCATGTGGAATTGGAAATACCTAACACCTAATTGCGCGGTTTGGTCTACCTTTCCCTGTCAGGCTCGGTACACATTCTAAGGTGCCCCCTTGTGGCCCGGCCTCCAGGGTATCGCCTTGCCCTTCAGGGTTGGAGTAAGTAACCTGGTAAAAAAAAACCAAGTCGTGGGGCGACGATTGCGGTACGACAGTTTGGGTGGCCTGCATACTGGGGTGCACACAATACTAGTCAGCTGGACAGCAGCTAATCAACAACGTTGTTTGTCCATCAATTGTAGACGAAATCGGTATTTTTTTTTTCCAAACAAGATATGCTCTGGGTCTTGGAGTACTGATGTTCTCTACCTCACAAAACCGCGATGATTTGGTCTGATGGGTGCTCAGAAGCTTAAGTTTTCCAGAGAACAAAACCGTGTGTGGCCAGATAGCAATGGCGCCGGCAGCAAGTGTGACCCCATTGGTGACATCTCGCCACTCTGATGTCTCCCCCCACCTCACAGTTACTCGCTGTTTTCTGTAGCTTAGATACTCCCTTATCCACTGGAGCACCTTACCTGTTAATCGTGCCTATTTCTCCAACTTTTGTAACAGTATCTTATGGGGTACTGTGTCAAAGGTTTTCCGAATGTCTAAGAAAATATAATCTCCCCAATCTTCTCTTTCTTGCCATATTTTTGTCGCCTGGTCATAAAATTCTATTATACCCATGCAACCCGTTCTCGCACTTTCGTACAGTCAATATTGACTTATTATATAAGTGCATATGTGACATACTAATTTATTGTGAATATTTTAGTTTACCTTGAAAAGCTTCATACAAAACACCGACCTCACCTAACCTTCTTAGTATGTTAAGATAAGCATCTTATTTCTTATCGCATATGTTTTCTATGAAGCTTTTCAAGGTAAACTAAAATATTCACAATAAATAAGTATGTCACATATGCACTTATTTAATAAGTCAATATTGACTGTAGAAAAGTGTGAGAACGGGTTGACCCATGAGTCACTATTTACCATCCCTGAACCCATGCTGGTGGTGTGTTACAAAGCTCCTTCTCTCTGGATGTGCTACAAGTGTTTTCATCACGATCTTCTTCATCATGGTATTCAAGTTATGGAAACTGGCCTATAGTTCACTGCCTCTTGTTTCTCACGCTTTTTGAACATTGGGACTACATTAGTGCTTCTGCATCTTCCTTTAATATTCATGGTGAGATTCTGTCAGGCCCAACAGCTTTTGTCACATTCAGCTCCAACAGATTCATTTTGATCTCATCACCGGTATGCTTAAATTACTCCAAGGTTGCTTGGTTTACTGCCTCCACTCTCAGTACAGGGCCATCTCCTTACTCTATTTTGAAGACCTTCTGGAATCTCTTGTTGAGTTCTTCATATACCTCCTTGTATACCTCTGTGTATCTATTTTCTTCTTTTTCTATTCCTACACTGCTGTTTTCCTCCTGATGTGGCTGTGGAACAGTTTTGGTTGGGTCTAAGTTTTACTCACGATGTCATTTTCATACTGTCTCTCTGCTTCTCTCCTCACTCTGAGGTACTCATTCCTGGCCCACTGTTATCTCTAGTTGCTCTCTGGTGTTGTTATTCCTGTAGCTCCTCCATGTTTTGTTCTCATTTGCTTCGCTACCTTACATTCCTGATTGAACCATGGATTCTTCTGTTGCTATTCATTTTTCTCCTTTTGGGCCGGGATAAACCTGTCTGCAGCTTCCTGGCACTTCTGGGTGACATATTTCACCATATCCTGTACATTCTTCTCTCTGAGTTCTGATTCCCATGGTATTCCTATTAGGAAGTTCCTCATCTCATCATATATTCCTCTTCGGTAATTTAGCATTTTCCTTTCCAATCCCTTCCTTGGATAGGATATCCCTAACCTTCACCAGATACTTAAATGTGGGAATGGTTGGGTACATGATGATGAGTACATGAGTGAAAGTGGTTGGGTGAGAATATGAGTACATTAGTGAGGGTTGTTGGATGAGTACATGAGTGGATGTAGATGGATACACGCGCTCCCTTACATGGGCAAATACTCCTGCAGATTCCAGTGTCCTTTTGCTGCTATGTTCCCATAAGCTTAGGACTATGCAGTCCAATACTGTTCTCATAAGCTTAGGACTATGCAGTCCAATACTGTTCTCATAAGCTTAGGACTATGCAGTCCAATACTGTTCCCATAAGCTTAGGACTATGCAGTCCAATACTGTTCCCATAAGCTTAGGACTATGCAGTCCAATACTGTTCCCATAAGCTTAGGACTATGCAGTCCAATACTGTTCTCATAAGCTCAGGACTATGCAGTCAAATACTGTTCTCATAAGCTTAGGACTATGCAGTCCAATACTGTTTTCATAAGCTCAGGACTATGCAGTCCAATACTGTTCTCATAAGCTTAGGACTATGCAGTCCAATACTGTTCTCATAAGCTTAGGACTATGCAGTCCAATACTGTTCTCATAAGCTCAGGACTATGCAGTCCAATACTGTTCCCATAAGCTCAGGACTATGCAGTCCAATACTGTTCTCATAAGCTGAGGACTATGCAGTCCAATACTGTTCCCATAAGCTCAGGACTATGCAGTCCAATACTGTTCTCATAAGCTGAGGACTATGCAGTCCAATACTGTTCTCATAAGCTGAGGACTATGCAGTCCAATACTATTCCCATAAGCTCAGGACTATGCAGTCCAATACTGTTCTCATAAGCTGAGGACTATGCAGTTCAATACTGTTCTCACAAGCTCAGGACTATGCAGTCCAATACTGTTCTCATAAGCTCAGGACTATGCAGTCCAATACTGTTCCCATAAGCTCAGGACGATACAGTCCAACACTAACCTTCCTCCACCAAACGTCGCGTCCCCCTCCCCCCCAACATTTACCAGCGTGTGCTCCAGCTCACCTCACCCAGTGTTGCATCACGCCCTCTCTGCTACTTCAGGACCCGGATGTCACATGGAACACAACCGACCCGGACTTCACCCTGTGCTTCGAGCGGACGGTGCTGGTGTGGGTGCCGTGTGGGTTCCTGTGGCTCTTCGCCCCGCTGGAGATCTCCTACATCGTCAACAGCGTCGACCGGCTGGTACCCTGGTCGTGGATCAATATCTCCAAGCTGGTCAGTCTCCCATCATTACTTCCCTCTCCAAGGCTCTTTGGTCTTAAAGTTTAAGACTTCAAGTTGTTTATGGGATAAATATACTATATACATGTACAGGTGGTGGATGTTCAGGTGATGGATGTACAGGTGGTGGATGTACAGGTGGTGGATGTACAGGTGGTGGATGTTCAGGTGATGGATGTACAGGTGGTGGATGTACAGGTGGTGGATGTACAGGTGGTGGATGTTCAGGTGATGGATGTACAGGTGGTGGATGTACAGGTGGTGGATGTTCAGGTGGTGGATGTACAGGTGGTGGATGTACAGGTGATGGATGTTCAGGTGATGGATGTACAGGTGGTGGATGTACAGGTGGTGGATGTTCAGGTGGTGGATGTACAGGTGGTGGATGTTCAGGTGATGGATGTACAGGTGGTGGATGTACAGGTGGTGGATGTTCAGGTGGTGGATGTTCAGGTGGTGGATGTACAGGTGGTGGATGTACAGTTGATGGATGTTCAGGTGATGGATGTTCAGGTGATGGATGTACAGGTGGTGGATGTACAGGTGGTGGATGTTCAGGTGGTGGATGTTCAGGTGGTGGATGTACAGGTGGTGGATGTTCAGGTGGTGGATGTACAGGTGGTGGATGTTCAGGTGGTGGATATACAGGTGGTGGATGTACAGGTGGTGGATGTTCAGGTGGTGGATGTACAGGTGGTGGATGTTCAGGTGGTGGATGTACAGGTGGTGGATGCACAGGTGGTGGATGTACAGGTGGTGGATGTACAGGTGGTGGATGTTCAGGTGATGGATGTTCAGGTGGTGGATGCTCAGGTGGTGGATGTACAGGTGGTGGATGTTCAGGTGGTGGATGTACAGGTGGTGGATGTACAGGTAGTGGATGTACAGGTGGTGGATGTTCAGGTGATGGATGTACAGGTGGTGGATGTTCAGGTGGTGGATGTACAGGTGGTGGATGTTCAGGTGGTGGATGTACAGGTGGTGGATGTTCAGGTGGTGGATGTTCAGGTGGTGGATGTTCAGGTGGTGGATGTACAGGTGGTGGATGTACAGGTGGTGGATGAACAGTTTGATGGATGTTCAGGTGATGGATGTACAGTTTGGTGGATGTTAAGGTGATGGATGTACAGGTGGTGGATGTACAGGTGGTGGATGTACAGGTGGTGGATGTACAGGTGGTGGATGTTCAGGTGGTGGATGTGCAGGTGGTGGATGTTCAGGTGGTGGATGTACAATTGGTGGATGTACAGGTGATAGATGTTCAGGTGGTGGATGTACAGGTGGTGGATGAACAGTTTGGTGAATGTTCAGGTGATGGATGTACAGGTGGTGGATGTACAGTTTGGTGGATGTTCAGGTGATGGATGTACAGGTGGTGGATGTACAGGTGGTGGATGTACAGGTGGTGGATGTTCAGGTGGTGGATGTACAGGTGGTGGATGTTCAGGTGGTGGATGTTCAGGTGGTGGATGTACAGGTGGTGGATGTTCAGGTGGTGGATGTTCAGGTGGTGGATGTTCAGGTGGTGGATGTTCAGGTGATGGATATACAGGTGGTGGATGTACAGGTGGTGGATGTACAGGTAGTGGATGTACAGTTTGGTGGATGTTAAGGTGGTGGATGTACAGATGGTGGATGTACAGGTGGTGGATGTACAGGTGGTGGATGTACAGGTGGTGGATGTTCAGGTGGGGGATGTTCAGGTGATGGAGGTACAGGTGGTGGATGCACAGGTGGTGGATGTTCAGGTGGTGGATGTTCAGGTGATGGATGTACAGGTGGTGGATGTTCAGGTGGTGGATGTTTAGGTGGTGGATGTACAGGTGGTGGATGTACAGGTGGTGGATGTACAGGTGGTGGATGTTCAGGTGGTGGATGTTCAGGTGGTGGATGTACAGGTGGTGGATGTTCAGGTGGTGGATGTTCAGGTGGTGGATGTTCAGGTGGTGGATGTTCAGGTGGTGGATGTTCAGGTGATGGATGTACAGGTGGTGGATGTTCAGGTGGTGGATGTTCAGGTGGTGGATGTTCAGGTGGTGGATGTACAGGTGGTGGATGTTCAGGTGGTGGATGTCCAGGTGGTGGATGTTCAGGTGATGGATGTACAGGTGGTGGATGTTCAGGTGGTGGATGTTCAGGTGATGGATGTACAGGTGGTGGATGTTCAGGTGGCGGATGTTCAGGTGGTGGATGTTCAGGTGGTGGATGTACAGGTGGTGGATGTACAGGTGGTGGATGTACAGGTGGTGGATGTACAGGTGGTGGATGTTCAGGTGATGGATGTACAGGTGGTGGATGTTCAGGTGGTGGATGTTCAGGTGGTGGATGTTCAGGTGATGGATGTACAGGTGGTGGATGTTCAGGTGGTGGATGTTCAGGTGATGGATGTACAGGTGGTGGATGTTCAGGTGGCGGATGTTCAGGTGGTGGATGTTCAGGTGGTGGATGTACAGGTGGTGGATGTACAGGTGGTGGATGTACAGGTGGTGGATGTACAGGTGGTGGATGTTCAGGTGGTGGATGTACAGGTGGTGGATGTTCAGGTGGTGGATGTTCAGGTGGTGGATGTTCAGGTGGTGGATGTTCAGGTGGGGGATGTTCAGGTGATGGATGTACAGGTGGTGGATGTTCAGGTGGTGGATGTTCAGGTGATGGATGTACAGGTGGTGGATGTTCAGGTGATGGATGTACAGGTGGTGGATGTACAGGTGGTGGATGTACAGGTGGTGGATGTACAGGTGGTGGATGTACAGGTGGTGGATGTACAGGTGGTGGATGTACAGGTGGTGGATGTTCAGGTGATGGATGTACAGGTGGTGGATGTTCAGGTGGTGGATGTTCAGGTGGTGGATGTTCAGGTGGTGGATGTTCAGGTGGGGGATGTTCAGGTGATGGATGTACAGGTGGTGGATGTTCAGGTGGTGGATGTTCAGGTGATGGATGTACAGGTGGTGGATGTTCAGGTGATGGATGTACAGGTGGTGGATGTACAGGTGGTGGATGTTCAGGTGATGGATGTTCAGGTGGTGGATGTTCAGGTGGTGGATGTTCAGGTGGTGGATGTTCAGGTGATGGATGTACAGGTGGTGGATGGACAGGTGGTGGATGTTCAGGTGGTGGATGTACAGGTGGTGGATGTTCAGGTGGTGGATGTTCAGGTGGTGGATGTACAAGTGGTGGATGTACAGGTGGGGGATGTACATGTGGTGGATGTACAGGTGGTGGATGTTCAGGTGATGGATGTACAGGTGGTGGATGTACAGGTGGTGGATGTACAGGTGGTGGATGTACAGGTGGTGGATGTTCAGGTGGTGGATGTACAGGTGGTGGATGTTCAGGTGGTGGATGTACAGGTGGTGGATGTACAAGTGCTGGAGGCACACACTACCTGTAAGGAGCATAATATTGACTTTTTCACTCAAGCTACAGGGAGCATAATATTGACCTGCACACTCAGGCTACAGGGAGCATAATATTGACTTTTACACTCAAGCTACAGGGAGCATAATATTGACTTTTACACTCAAGCTACAGGGAGCATAATATTGAGCTTCACACTCAGGCTACAGGGAGCATAATATTGACCTTTACACTCAGGCTACAGGGAGCATAATATTGAGCTTCACACTCAGGCTACAGGGAGCATAATATTGACCTTTACACTCAAGCTACAGGCAGCATAATATTGACCTTTACACTCAAGCTACAGGGAGCATAATATTGACCTTTACACTCAGGCTACAGGGAGCATAATATTGACTTTTACACTCAAGCTACAGGGAGCATAATATTGACTTTTACACTCAAGCTACAGGGAGCATAATATTGACTTTTACACTCAAGCTACAGGGAGCATAATATTGACCTGCACACTCAGGCTACAGGGAGCATAATATTGACCTTTACACTCAGGCTACAGGGAGCATAATATTGACTTTTACACTCAAGCTACAGGGAGCATAATATTGACTTTTACACTCAAGCTACAGGGAGCATAATATTGACTTTTACACTCAAGCTACAGGGAGCATAATATTGACTTTTACACTCAAGCTACAGGGGAGCATAATATTGACTTTTACACTCAAGCTACAGGGAGCGTAATATTGACCTGCACACACTAACAACAGTGTGCTCTATAGATATTATTCCATTATTATAGTATAATATTGAGCTGCACACACTCTCTGCAGGGAGCATAATACTGACCTAGACACACTATCAGCAATTAGCATTATTTTGATCTATATACATTAATTGCCTGGATCCTAATAATGAAGAAGTAGAAACAGGCAAAAGATAGGCAAGAGAGAGCTGAGGAGCAAAGTAAGGTGTAGTAGAGGGGATAGTAATAATAATAAGAGCTGCAGAGGGCCTATTGGCCCATACGAGGCAGCTCCTATTATAACCACCGAATGAGAAGGAGATAAAAATAAGAAGAGGATAGCAAGGGAGCGTAGAAGACAATGAACAAAAAAAGGGAGAAGAGAGAAAGAAAAGGAAAGAGAAAGAAAGATAAATGGAAGGGGTAAGCTTATGTTAAGTCACGTTTGTTAGAAAGATTAGAGCACTTGAGTATATACTGTGAAAGGGAAGAGTCCACAGCAACAAAGCCAGGACTCAAGTTCATGTTGGGTACATTGTGTATAAGAGCCGATTCTACAAGACGGCGTCTGTGTAGAGTAGAGGCAGGAAAGATTATTTTGGAGGAAGACCAATCAATGGGATGATTAGAATCCCTCACATGGCAGAAGAGAGCATTGTTAGTGTCTGCAGACTTAACACTTCTCTTGTGTTCTTCAAGAACACAACATAAGCTTACCCCTTTTATTTATCTTTCTTTCTCTTTCCTTTTCTTTCTCTCTTCTCCCTTTTTCTGTTCATTGTCTTCTCCTACGCTCCCTTGCTATCCTCTTCTTATTCCTATTACTATCTCCTTCGGTAGTTATAATGGGAGCTGCCTCGTATGGGCCAATAGGCCCTCTGCAGCTCTT